GCTGCTTACTCCCTGGCACACCTTTCACTCTTCTTTCACTTGCACACTGTTCACCCGTTTACACACTTGATTGCAACTCCATGCAAATTCGAAATTGGATGGTGGCACCATCACCTTTCTTCTTCTGCTGCTTACTCCCTGGCACACCTTTCACTCTTCTTTCACTTGCACACTGTTCACCCGCTTACACACGTGATTTCAACTCCATGCAAATTCGAAATTGGATGGTGGCACCATCACCTTTCTTCTTCTGCTGCTTACTCCCTGGCACACCTTTCACTCTTCTTTCACTTGCACACTGTTCACCCGCTTACACACGTGATTTCAACTCCATGCAAATTCGAAATTGGACGGTGGCACCCAATGTGGTTGATGAAACTAGGAAAGGGTGGGGTGACAATTTGGGCGTCTTACCTCCCTGACCAACCTGCAACAAATGGCTCAAGAAACCATCCAGCGAACAGCGAGCTCTCGCTGGTTATGGCAGCACTCTGTCTCCACCTGCTCGCTGTTGCTCTCTGGCACTCGGCTTGCTTCTTGCCTGTGTGCTGGCTCCCTGCCTGGTCATGCATGTCGCTTCTTCACGTGTGCTCCACTCTTTTTTGTTTGCTTGTGCGCTCTCTCTTTTATCGCGTTGCTCGATTGTAGCTGCTCCTGCTCCAGAGCAACAAGTGTCTATTCTGATACAACTGCAAAGGTCCCGCTTTTATCCTGCGTTGTCGGCGTTATTGCTCCGAACTTTCTGCATATCATCGCGGTCAAGATCCACAGCGCAACAGCAAGTTCTCTGAGCAACCCGCAACAAATGGCTCGAGGTTCACAGAGTAACAGCAAGGTTCACAGAGTATGAGCACGCTTCTTACAGCTTGAAATGCAGTACGCAGGTTCTCAACTTTTGCCTATGGCCGCAGACAACAACAACAACAAACAGGTAAGTTGATCTCGCTCTCTCACCGCTATCAACTACTGTGCCCAGGTCCGACGATCCCTCTCTGAATGTCCTCACCACTCTGTCCCTTGCTACATGCTACACTACGGTTATGGAGTCACGAGCCCTTGCCTTGTACCCCGCCAGGCACTGTTAATAATTCAGAATCTTGGTGCACAACAATACTGCAGCCCTTTTGCACATGAATGAATCCAGAAGAGCAGTCCATGGCAGTGGCCTCCTTTTTTTGCATGTGTCTGTGCCCGTGGCTGACAGAGGTGCGGTATGTCATGGGCCTTCCCTTGGACTGAATTGCTGGGACGGGACACGTGGTGACTCCCTGCCTACGGACTACGAAGGACTTCTACTGTTCCTAATGGGCTCATCGTATCAAATATCTCTTTTGGGCTGCACAGTACCTACCTGAAAGTTCTACTTTGTCCCGAAGGCACAACTTCGTAGCATGCAGCTAAGTCAGCTCACTCCCTTACACTGAGTATTTCTTCGTGTCTGCACTTTCGTGAATGTTCTCTTCACACTCGCTTTTGTGTTCCCCCAGTCCTACTTTGTTGCAGTCACGAGCGAAACCCGGTAATGCTCCTGGACGATAATTTGTATCCCGGGCAGACTGTGAGGACCCTGGCCTCAACTACGGGACGCTGGACCCGGTTTCCAGCAGGTGATACTCCCCACCAATGGACAGGAGTCATCCACCAGAGTACCTCGATCCAGATGGTTCTCTTACATGAAAGGAGAATGGGACAGTTGCTATGTTGGCCTGTAAAGTACGTACGAGACTCTCAATAGGTGTTTGTATTACTTTCTTAATAAGCTTTATTACGTTTTTCAATTATTGATTTTCTTCCTTGTGTGTGTGTGTGTGTGTGTGTGTCTGTGTGTGTGTGTGTGTGTGTGTGTGTGTGTCTTATGCAGCTATGGCATGCAAGATGCATTGCGCTGTTTGGCAATGGCCATTCGAGTCCTGCCATCTGGCCAGCAAACCATCACTTCGGACGATGAGAATGATCTGACCTTCTTGGGACTGGTAAGTTCAGGGTGGGCCAAATAGCTCCAAATGGCTCCAATTTCTACATTAGGCGCCAAACTTAAATGAAAGAAAGCCCAAGAGAAACCCCAAGATAAAGCCCAGAAAAAGGCTACAAAAAACATTATTTCAGACAGTAAACAAAATCATACCAGGGCATAGGTGGTAGGCTATGAAGCCGATGGAGCGCAATTTGTTGTCGTCATGGATGACAGGGAACAATGGATCCAACGACCACTATGGTTGTCAGTGAAAGATCGAGCGAATGACCATTATTATGCCACATGGTTGAGGTCATTGCGAAGTGTCAATTATCATTGGCTTAGACTTCTGTACTCATCACAGCTTTCTGGTTCAGACTCAGTAACGAGTTCCTTTTCATTGCACTCATGGCTGTCCATTGTCATTGCATGCAATTTCCATCAATGACCATCATCACATCAGGACTGAAATCACGAGAGAAAAAGACCATCACAGTGATCTATGGTATTCAGGTCACTATCATCATTACCTTGCTTGTCAGCGCTGTGCCATGAGTTTTACAAGTGCCAATCTGTAACACTTATCCCTCTGATCATAACACATTATTAGATTTCCATTAAAAGGAGGAGGAGCAGGAGGAGGAGGAGGAGAAGAATAAGAATAAGAATAAGAATAAGAAGAAGTCCATTGTTCTCACTGTTCTCATGCTTGCTGTCATCAAATGTAGTTTCCCATCGTCATGGAGTTGCTGTCATCAACAAAACATCCATCATTCAGAATGGAGGCAGGCATCCACCTAAAATTGTCATAATATCTGCTAATTTCATTCCATTAACAAGTGGAGGAAGTACTTGTAAATTAGTAAATCCTGGGGGATGTATTTCAAATTCGGACCACTGTATCTGCTGTCTGCACACCATGCATCGTTGTATCAAATTATTCAATTATTGTCATATCATCACCACACACATCATCATCATCGTTGTGTCAGATGATCAGCGTGCTCATGGGCAATGGGCCTCGGCGCAAGGTGGGCGAAACGGAAAACAAATGTATGTTGTCAGAGTTGGAGTTCGCGAGGTTGAGCATGTGCTCGTTCCTCCCCCGGCTACAATACGCACAAACTCGTAGGTCCTCCGCTGGGCCAGTGGAGGCGGTGTGAAAACTCACGAGTCTGGCGAGTCGGTCCAAATGGAGTGTGTGCAAAAAAATTGGACCTTAGCCCGTGTCGGAAGCCGCATGGCACACATGAACCCCACACAGATCTCAAGACGCAGTTCCCACAAGGGAGTTCATGTGTGTTGTGCGGCGATGAGGCCAGAAACGAGAGGAAACGGTGATTCGGGGCCTCGCGAGTTCGGAGCTCGTTTCGTCTTGTTTTTTGCACCGTCCGGCAAGCCCCAATATCATGGCACATGGATTCTAGTCAGCACACCTCTGTGATCTAGCTGTTCAGATTTTGTAGTGGCCTTAGTGTGCTTCAACTTAGTAGGCCCTGTATTCTTCCAGAAACGGTTTCTGAACCTTTGGACGTGTGGGACATGTGGCCATGTTTGACTCCTGGGGGATGTCTTGACTCTTTGACTTCTTAACCTGGTAGGCCCTGACGGTTCAGTTTCCTGGGGCCCTTTACTCGGCTTCCAAAGGTCCTATGCACTTCGATTTGACCCCTGATGCCATGCCTATCAACCCAAGGAGTATAGTAAGGACGTTCTGAGACCCGTTTGGAGACCCATAGACAGACTTTTGACCGCAGAACTGCGATTTGCCAAACGCTGGGACGCAAAGTCCTTTTTTTTTTTTTTTTTTTTTTAAGCTGTCTTCTCTTCATCGGGTGACAGCTGTATATATGTATATTTTCTCCCAATTTTTCCTCATTTATATGCACATTCTTAGCATGGGATGCCTAGGGTTATGGGTTGGATTCCCGGCCTGCCGACATTCTCCCTAGTGAAACCCAGCCGCTGACATTCTCCCTAGTGAAGCCCAGCCTTCCTACTCTGCTCAACTCTTCTGCTCTATGCGTGGAGCTGTACCTCGGCTCCTAACACCTGGCACAAGCTGGGAAGCGCATGGCCGCTTCCACAACCAGCCAGGAGGCCCAAGCCAATTATCTCCGCTGGTGAACCCGAAGCGTATCACAGGGGGCCGCCGGGGATCGAATGGGCGACATGGGGAATTGAACCCACGACGTCGTGAATACCACTTATGTGCTCAACCAGGTGAGCTAGCCAACTTGGCCCCCAAAGTTTTTTTTTTTTTTGCAAGAGAAGACATTTTTTCCTGCGGGTGAGAAGCCTCTGACATTATTGTAAACGCTAGAATTTGAACCCGCGATCTGTTTAATGAACAATACATGTCTGGACCATTCAGCCACCAGACAGGTACACAGAAGATGTAGTCAGATAAAGAGAGAGATGCCAAGAGCCCTGCTACTCTGATGAGGTGCACCTCGTAAACACTCCCACTGTATGCTCAGCATTTGTTGAGGATATAGGTCCCTGGCCATGATCAAAAGACATCTCTATCTCTATACTCTTAAAAGTTACAAAGGGCCGACCGTAACGGGTCTACATGGGCCCAACAAAAATCGAAGCAGGGGTGTGCCGTCGGGGGTCCCGAGGGAGGGACTGGAGATGTGGGTAAGTGATGCGGGGGCATGGTCGCCAAAGCGGGTCCCGAAGGATGGACCGGAGGCGCTGATGAGTGAGGCTGGACGAGGTCGGCAAACGTGGCAAGGGGGGCACAGAACGGCACTAGGGGTGCGATGTGACGCGAGGCTTCGAGGGCAAAAGTGGTGAGGGGGGGGGCGCGAAGCGACGCAAGGGAGAGCGAGAGAGATCGCCCGGCAGGGAGAAACACCGGTCGCAAAAACTTGGCTTGGCAAGGGCAGTGCATGCAGGAGTGTGCATGTGGCGCATGGTGCAGCAGGCTCAAGCAGGGATGAAAGCGAGGAAGAACGGTCTTTTTTTTCCTCACGTGCATGTTCCTCTCTCTCTCTCATCCATGCACACGTGTCGAATCGGGTTTACATTTGTACATTTTCCTTCTCTCTCTCTCTCTCATCCATGCACACGTGTCAAATTGGGTTTACATTTGTACATTTTCTCTCTCTCTCTCTCTCTCTCTCTCTCTCTCTCTCTCTCTCTCTCTCTCCCCCCCCCCATGATGACAAGTGGCACCATGCGTTTCCATGTCGCGTCCGCCACTCTGTGGCCAAATCCCTGAAAAAGATCCGGGACCAGACACGTGCCACTGTGCATTTGCATGTGGAGCTCTCTCTCTCTCTCTCTCTCTCTCTCTCTCTCTCTCTCTCTCTCTCTCTCTCTCTCTCTCTCTCTCTC